ACCAAAAACTAACTGATACTCAGTCTTTTTCCTTTGAACTGAGTTTTGCCTTTATCTGGGTAAATTCATTATCTATTCTGCTCACTTCGTCAACATCTATCTGAGTTTCTTAAAACTCTCAGCTTCTGTCTCTTATCACTCTTGAGTTCACGTTTAAAGCACATCACCCTGAATCCACAGGTGTTCAACCCCTGAAATCTGGGATTCAAATATTCTTTTTTTTTTTTAAGATTTATCTATGCATACAAGAACTGGGGGACAGGCTAGAGGTGCGGGGTTGGGAGGGAGAGGATTCACCAGACAGAGCGGGGAGCAGAACAGGCAGATTGAAAAAGTGCACTGCTGAGGGGAGCAGAGGGCGGGTCAGGAGAGGTCTGTGCCTCATCAGTCAGCTTCCTGGCTGGGGATAGAACTCATGCTGCAGTGGCTGCAGCTAGCTTCACAGTGCTGCACTTTAACCCATTGTCCCACCAGGAAAGGCCCGAAATTCAAATATTCTATTTTGCTTTCTCATTCTCCTACTTTCTGATGTCTGTATTATTATTTATTATAACAAAACCAGTACCCCAAAACTTAGTAACTTAAGACAGCGTTTCTGAGAGGCAGGAATCCAGAAGCAGCTTAGCTGGATGATTCTGGCCCAACGTCTCTTAGGACATTGCAACCAATTCAAGTGCTGGCGGCCTTGAGGTCCTCAGTAGTTCTCTTATCAACCTGGCAAAATCATGCTGACTGGTGGCAGCCTATTCCTCTTCCATGACACCTGAGTGTCCTCAAGTCTTGGTGACTAAGGGCCCCCGGACCAAGCCTCCAAGCCAGCCAACGGGAAGCCACAGTGCTTTTCTAACTTAGAGAACTTTTTTCTAACTTTTAGGGTTTTCTGTAAGTTAGAAAGGAGCTCTAAGCCCAACCTACACTCAAGGAGAGGGAAAGTCAGCTCCCCCGTGGAGAGGGTTCCAAAGAATTAGTAGACAGATTTTTCAGTGACCTCAGTGTTTTGTTTTTAGGTTTTGTTGTTATTCCCATTACACCTGTGCTTTGATTCGCTGTGATTTTTAATCCCTTGAAATCTTTCATTGTCTATCCGCTCCATCCCATTTTTACTCCAATTACATTCTAGACTCTTCTGGTCCATCGGTTAATAACCTCACCCCCTTGTGTCATTCTGTTTCTGCTCTTATCACCCAGACAGCCAAGCACTTCATGAGTGACGAGGGCTGGGACATCCTCACCGCCTGCAGCTCCCACTTCACTGTGCAGCCCTCTCCTCCATCCAGAACCTTCCCACACCTTCTGCTGCTGCTCCTCACCCACAGTGGAGGAGGTGAGGAGCTCCCCCCACCTGAGGCCCAACCCCCCACGGCTGGGATGCTACAGGAATAAAAAAAATAAGCCTGAACTTTGGGTCAGACACTGCCCCTACCTCTGAAGCTATTGCAGCTTGAATCTCTCTTCCCTGCCTTCTGCTTGCCTAGACTGAATCCTTTCCATTCAGTATTTACACTTGCTCAAATTGCCCTCTGTCTTAAAGAACAGCTGTCTTTGCCAGCCCACCTCCTCCTTAGGTTAACAAGCGGCCTCTCTTCATACTTAAAATATGTGACAGAGTGAATTGCTCTCACCCTCTCTGTACTTTGATTCCTCTCACCTCTAGAACCCCTCAACACTCCACTAAAATGGCTCTTGTCATGGTCACCGCCGGTGAGGTGGGAGCTGTCTTCTTACGAGGAAGGAAGTCCTAAGGGAACTCTGCAGTCTTGTGGACTCCACCCCCTACTCCAGCTTTCTGGACTCCACCCCCTACTCCAGTGATTGGAAACTGCAACTCCCAGCAGTACCAGGGAGAACTGCGAGGACCCAAGGGCAGAGCTAAGCGGGCATTCTGGGGCTTTGGGGGATAAATAGGGTGCCATTTTCCAATGGCCTCTCCAGAAAGGCAATGGCTCTCTCTCCCTCCAGCAACAGCTCTCAGGACTGTGACTTGGGGCTTTCAGTTAGTTTGTTACCAGAGATCCAAGTCAGCAGAGCAGATAAGATATTCCAGTTACCTTGTAACTCTCTCTCTTTCCCCGAGTTGTTCCTTTTCCTTTCCCTTTTTGTAAATAAACCCATTATTGACCCTTTTGTGTGTGCCTGCAGTAAACTGAATTTTAAGCATGCAGGTGAGGCCCCACAGAGAGTCAGCCCAGTTCACACTGGGGTGCCCTGTAACATTCTCACCTCCTCGCCTTCTTCAAGGCCCTCACAGTACTGACAGGCAGCCATGCCCACCTGGGTCCCCACAGTTTCACATTTCCAACCATTCCTGCAGGAGGCCCCTTTCCCACAGGCTTATGAATTGCCCCTCTCAGGGTTCCTCAGAATTTTGTCCAGCACTGTTTTTTCTTCTTAACCTGCACATTTACTCACTTCCATGTCTTTGAATGCCCTCTGTAAGTTGATAAAGCACAAGTCCCTGCTCCCCAGTCACATTTCACATTTTTCTCCTGGACTTTCTATTTTTTTTTTTTTTAAGATTTACTTATTTATGCATACAGAACTGAGGTACATGTCAGAGGTGTAGGGGCAGTGAGAGGGTTTACCAGAGACAGAGGGGGAGCAGAACAGGCAGATCAATGAAGCACAATGCTGAGGGAGCAGCCTGAGAGACAAGAGAGGTCTGCTGTGCCATGTGGGTCAGCACCAGGGCAGGGAACCAAACTTTTGCTGCAGTGGCTGCAGATTGCTTCATAGTGCTGTGTTTTAACCTGTTGTGCCACCAGGGAGGACCCCAGACTTTGTCGTTTTAACCTCACGAACTACATCATTCCAGCTCTCCCACAGGCCCTGAGTGTTCAGCATGGCAATGTTTAAATGTTTATGTAGCATAGACTGATCCTAGTGCTCACGCCACTGCTCAGTACTAAGAGGGGTGGACAGGACACCCATCTCTCTGGACCTTAGTCTTGTCATCTGTAAAACAGGAGATAATGAAAGCCCAACTGATACGGTCACTGTGTGGATAAGTCAGTCCATGTACAGTCCTGGCTCAATGCCTGGCACGCGGTCCTCAGGCTCCATGAATGTGAGTGATGATGCTGATGAAACTAAACAGTACATGAACAGCCCATGGCCCACGGGAAGTGTTGAGCAAGTGCTATTTGGTGTTATCTGAATGTATCTCCCCAGCCCAATGGCAAATTCTGAGAAGTCTACTCCTCTTCCAGTATTTCCTCCTTTAGCAAATGGGGCCTTTGGGTTCCATTTTCCTGTCCCCTGTCCAAGCAGTGACCGAGCTCTAGCTGGACTACTGTTACTCCTCGTCTAGTCAGTCCACTTCTTCCAGTCCTGCTCTCCTCCCAGTGCTGTCTCTCCCCTGGATTTCTGCAGTGCCTCCTGCCTGGGCTCTCTGCCTCTGATCCCAGCCCTGACCAATCCATCCTTCACACTGCAGCCAGAGAGATCAGTCCAAGATGCACATCAAATCCTGTAATTTCCCTGGGGGCTTTGCATCACACTCAGGTCAAAGTGCAACCTCTTAATTGAATTTCAAAGCCAGTTAGGTTATGAGCTTTGCTCTCCTCTCCAGAGTCAACTCCCAGCCTCATGCACCTTTCAGTTTCTCCGCTCTCTCTGGGCTCTGTGTCCTGAGTGTTCTCCTAACACCTCCTCACCTGGCCTACAATCTCATGCTTGTTTAGTTTGGATGACACGTCCAACAGGAAGTTTATCTGACGGTCCCCAAATGATTAGATGGTTTCCCCCTTGAACTTTGTGTACTCTTCAAAGTTACAATTATCACACTGTCTTAACAGCCTGTTTATTTTCGCTCCACCTTTAGACCATAAAGATTGCCAAGCAATGATTACATGCATATATGGGCAATAAATGAAAGCCGTTCTTGGCGGCCTGAGTCCCTTACCCAGCTGATGACACTCGTGACAACCCCCCCCTACCACAGATGTGCAGCATGCCGGAAAGCACAGGAGGGGCCAGGTCGAGTAGGTTTTAGTCCTTTACTGGCTGCGCCACCTGGGTAAAGCCGTTTAAACTTTGTGTCAGTTTCCATGTCTAAAAATGGAGCTCTGGTGGCAGGATCTGGGGGAAGGGTTAGCAGGCGCCATGTCCAGCCATGAAAGTCGCAAGAAACCCCTGAAACAGCCCACGGAGGAGGCCAGCAATGGAAAGAGGAGCAGAAGAAGTTTGAAGACCCAAAGACAAAGGCCATGGAAAAAGCCCGTGGCCACGGAGGAAATTAAGAAATTTGGTAAAAAGTCAGGTGCTCCTTGTGCGTGAGACAATGAGGACTCTTTTTTTTTTTTTTTTAATTATTACAAAAGTTTATTTTTACATCATTTTGCACATTTTTTTTTCCATCTCGATTGTAATCCCCGCGGGTTTCCCATCACCAAATCACCCGTGTGCCACCACCATAGTCCCGTGCATTTCCCTCCCTTCCCCCCACCCCCGTTTTTGACCCCATTCCCCACTCCACCCCCACAAAATGTCTCTGGTATATGGTTGTTCATTATTTTTGTTATTTTCTCTCCTGGTCCATTATACTCTTGCTATGAGTGAAACCATCTGGTATTTTTCTTTCTCTTTCTGGCTTATCTCACTAAGCATGATCTTTTCCAGCTCCATCCAAGTTGCTGCAAAAGACATGTGTTTCTCTTTTTTGGTTGCTGAGTAATATTCCATTATATATATGTACCACATCTTTTTAATCCAGTCATCTACTTTTGGGCATTTGGGCTGCTTCCATGTTTTTTCAGTTGTAAATAGAGCAGCAATAAACATGGGGGTACAGGTATCTTTTTCAATCAGTGTTTTTGTGTCTTTTGGGTAGATACCTAGGAGTGGGATTGCTGGGTCATAGGGAAGCTCCATGTTTAGCAGTTTGAGGAACCTCCAAACAGTTTTCCATAGTGGTTGTACTAGTTTGCATTCCCACCAGCAGAGCAGGAGAGTTCCTTTTTCTCCACATCCTCGCCAACATTTGTTGTTGCTAGTTGTTTGAAGATGTGCCATTCTCACTGGGGTGAGGTGGTATCTCAGACAATGAGGACTCTTAATTCCATTCCTGTTCAAGCATCTGGAACCGCTGCCATAATCTCGGTTGCAACCAAGAGCTAGAATGAGGTTTCTTGCAGCCTGTTTTTATATTTAAGAATAAAGTTTTATAAATAAATTAGAAATACAGTTAATAATGCCTTTCTCTTGGATTGCTGAGAAGCTCAAACAATGTGTCTGAAAGTGCTGCATAGAGCACAATTTGTCTCATGGCGCCAATGCCAGCTCATTCCTTTTGGGATTCTTGGTTTTCCCTCTTTCCCATCTCAGGCTCTCTCTCTTTCTCCCTTTTTCCACATCTTCTTCTCATTCCTGTTAGGGAAACCAAGACTTGATTGACAGTAGGTCTCAGAACCTCCAGGGTCAGAGGTCACTAACTACTGAGGGAAAGCATGGGAGGGTCTGGAACCGGCCAACCAGAATCATAGAGTGGAAGTAACGCCTCAAGTGGTGTCACCACATCATTTCTTCACTGGAGGCCTCAGTTTCCCCTACCCTGTAGGTGCTGGAAGATTTACCTGTACAGCTTCCGGAGAGGTATACTGCTCCCCAACCATGAACACACGGCATCTTTATCACCCGGAGATGTCCACAGGACCTCCCTTTTCTAAATTTTTCTCCAACACCTAATAGAGCAATTAAGATGAAAAGGGGTTGGAGGTTACAATGAAGGCAATGCAACAGCCTGAGAAAAAAAGAAACTAAGGACTTTGAAACATCTCATCTACGCCCAGGGTGTTACATATTTTGTGCTGAATTCACTCCCTACAACTGTGGAGGTACATACATATCTTCCTCTTTCGCGCATGGAGAAACCAAATTTCAGAGGACTTGCCCAAGAACATGCAGCAGGTAGCTTGTGGACTGAAACCCGGTTCACACTCCCTGCCCCACTCTTTCAGAATAGAAAACATGCTTAGTTCATTTACTCTCAACTTCTCTGTACCAGCACTTCAGAATTGTCTTTTCCTCCTTCCGTTGCGTGTCCTAAACCCATTCCAACCCCACATGCTCTGAATATATTACAGAAACATTCTGCTTAAACTGTAGGTTGATGAAGGGCTGTTGAAAAACTCATGTCGAGAAGCTGGAAACCTGAGAATCGTGTAAGCAGATCAGCCATCCAAAGCCACTGTTCTCCCTGCAACTCCATTATTCTTAGAAATAGCAAAGCAGTGACTAAGAAAAAAACTGCTAGCCAATAAGGGGAAGATGAGGGCAGAGAGGAAGAAGGAAGAAGAGGAAGGGTTTTCAGTGTGTCCCTAAGTGGACAGGGTGTCCACACCCACTTGGTGATTGCTGCATAACTCACCATGCAGCTAACCACGGGGTGTCAGGAGAGTAAGTGCTTGGGGAGGTCAGTGTAGGACAGCCTTCCTGGCCCACAATCATGGCAGACTTTTCGATTCTTCTCTCTTCTCTGGAGTCAACCACCTGGCTGCATACGTTTGCCGCAACTCCAACAAGAGATAGAATCTGTTCCCCTTCTCTTCGGTCTGGACTAGTTTTGTGATCTACTTTGAGCAAAAGAACAAAGAGAGTGACTGTGCCAACTCAGAGCGAGGCGTCAAGAGGCTGACTCTCTTGGACACATCTCTTGCTGACATGTAAACATGCCTGCGTGCTTGCTGGTGATGGCACACGCAGGCCCAGGCACCCATTAACCCACCAATGGGCAACACCTCCCAGCTGAGGGAGATGCCAGGGGAGCCCAGAAAGGGCAGAAGCATAAATCAGGAAGCAACAAGTGGCTGTTGCCTTAAGTCTCTTCACATTTCGGTGTGATTATTATGTACTACCAGCACATTCAGAGCCACGTTTGAATCTTAGAGGCCTCGTCTCTAAAACTGAGGTAGTAACTGTCCTCCCTGGTGCATGGAGCCACTATCCAAATAGAACTAGTAAACACTGCATCAAAATAAGTATGAAAATCCAAAATAAAAATGAGTGTCCCCAGGCTCTCCCTGGTGGCGCAGCGGGTTAAAGCACAGCACTAAGAAGCTGAAACCACTTCCGCATGAGTTCGATCCCCGCCTGCCCCGGAGATGACCACATGGCGAGGCAGACCTCTCCTGACCCGCCTGCTGCTCCCCTCAGCAGTGTACTTCGTCCATCTGCCTGTTCTGCTCCCCACTTTGTCTCTGGTGAATCCTCTCACCCTCCGCATCTCTGGCTTGTACCCCAGTTCTGTATGAATAAATAAATAAATCTTTAAAAAAAAGAAAATGAGTTTCCCCAGTCGCCGATGCCTCTCACCAAAACAAAACAGCTTTCCTGCACACAAGTCAGGCATGTCCTTGACACTCTGCTGGGCTGGTGTGCACCCAGCAGTCCCAATTACTAGATCTAATCATTCAGCAGCAGGCAGATTCTGTAGGATTGAACCGTTCAGTGTGCAAGCCCAAGTGAGTTTTAAGGATGACAGATTGATTTTTGCTTCCTGAAAACAAATTTAAATTGATGAGTCCTTAATGAATTCTTTCTTCTATTCTGGGGGGGAGGTAGGGGGTTCACATAAAGGCTTTAATCACACTGTGAATAAGAACTGTTTGCCAAGTTCTCAGTGCTGAGAAGGCACTGGATTTCCCCTGCTGAAGAAGTTGCACTTGTTCTGTGAGAGCAGTTTCAGGGTCTAATGGGAACTCTCTATTTCTGCTTTAGTTGTCAAGAATTATTCGCCAACTGTAGGAGGTTAGTCAATTAGTCAGGGTTTGTTTGTTCTAAATTATCTACACCATCCTAGCCACTTGGTGGGGAGTGAGAATGTGGCATCAGCCTCTCTTTCATTCATTCAATAAGTATTTATTGATTACCTACTCTTTCAAAGCACAAAATTATTGGAGCATATTGTCAAATAAACTGAAAACAAGTCCCTGCCCCTCTGGGGGTTTTCTATTTGGAGGAGAAAGATGAAGAAATTATAATAATAAATCTAATGAATAAGTAGTAAGTGCCATAATATATAACAAATATATAAGTGCTGTAGACAAACTGGAATGGAGTGAGGAGATTAGGAACGTGGACTGGGCCCTTCCTGGTGGCACAGCGTGTTAAAGCGCAGCACGGCAAATGAGCTACTGCTCTGTCAGTGTGAGTTCGATCCCCGCCCTGGAGGTGACCCATGTGACCCAGCAGACCTCTCTTGACATTCTTGCTGCCCCCCTCAGCAATGTACTTCATTAATCTGCCTCTTCTGCTTCTCTGGTGAATCCACTCACTGCCCCTGCACCCCAGTTCTGCATGCATAAATAAATAAAATCTTAAAAAGAAAACAAGAAAAGGAATGTGGGCTGGACTGTGAGGATCAGTTTTAAAGAGGACCCTCTGAGTGATACAACTGTGCAGCCTACACTGAGCTAGTGGAAATAGCAGAGGTGGTGAAAGCAACTAGTCCCCTCTACCCCGAGAGACAGGGGAGACCAAGAAAATCGAGAAAGCGCACAATGTACACCAGTACACTATTGATTCATTGGGACTGTCTCACTGTCCAGTGCTGTCAAGTTGGTAGCTTGCAATCGGTCATGATGTGAGTGCTTATTTACACTTTGGGAATTGACAAGTCTTACAAATAAGGGCAATTTTTTTTTTTAATTAAGAACTGGTTGTTCAGCATTTCTTGGCATACCACTGAGTGGACCCACTTCCAACCACATCCTAGGAGAAGTGCAATTGTAGGAATTACTGTGACAAATTTCCAGAGGAAAGTTTTTTGAAAGAGTCCCTTAAAGGAGGAACTAGGTAGAATTTGTGTAAACAGGAGAAAGGGACATTAGGCATGATTGTCCAGGCAAGGCAGAGAGACTGGGCTCACGTGGCATTTCAGAAAACTTCCACCAAGCAAACTGCAAACTGACACTGAATTCAGCTTCTTGCAAGGTGGGTTGGGATGCTTTCCAAAATTGAACTAAAATTATCTTGTCTTTCACGCCCCCACCAAAATCATTCCCAGCTCTCTGAAAGCTATGCAAACCTTGATGAACATGGTCCACATATCTTCAGGAATAGAATGTGGGCTCAGCATCTGTTGGATGGGAGTTCTCTGGATTTTTCTTCATGGAAACATGAGCTGGTAAATAGAAACTAGACAGCAGAATGCCCGGGTTTTTTTCCCCATCTCTGTAACTGCTTTGTTTGGTAACATCAGGCAGCTATCTCCATGCTCCATTTCCCCACTTAAAAATTATCAATTCACTCATTGGCTGGTAAAAATGAACAATATCATGGGAGACAAACATCCCAAGTTCTATTTTAGAAAGACATAAACAATGATATGCTTATGAGAAATAGACTCTTATTATTTTTACACCAAGCATGAATATAAACATCCTAGGAAAGCTCAAAAGGGAGAAAAATCCCTAGGAAATATTTCTGTTGTCAGGAGAGTCTTTTTCTCTCAAAGTACTCCTCCTCCAGACCAAAAATTTACAAATGGAATCCCCACACCAAGCTTTGGTTAAACCGACCTCCAATCACTGGCTCAGAATACCCAGCTACTGACTTGTAGAACAGTCAGAAGCAACCCCTGAGCCAGTGGGTGGTGCTCACAGCCAGCTCCAGGGTAGAAGGCCAAGCTTTCCAGACTGCACCCCTTCAAGTCCCTAGAGGGGAGCTGGTGGGAATTGGGGGTGGAGCTGCTGCTTTGACAGTTAAGCTACTAGGACTTGGCGATAAAACCTCTGGCACTTGGGCAGCTGAAGAGTAGATGTGTCTGTGGAAAAGCCACCAGTTTGTCACATGTGACTTCAACTAGGCCCCCAGTCACTATCTGGAATAGGACAGATGGCACCTGGCCATGTGCTGACCAGTAATCTCTATCATCTCCCTATTCTTACTTCTGCTATAAATCAATCCTGTTATTGTTCCACACCATGTGTCTGTAGTCATGAGTATGCAGGAGCACCCACCAACTGGGCCACCCCCACCCCCACCCCAAGCTTCTCCCATTTCAGTAGTGGAAATAAAGCGAGTGAAGATGACATCCTGTTCAGACATCAAGTTCAGCATGACAGTCACTCACCTCCCCAGCACCCTGTTCATGACAATCCAACCCTGAATGAATCCAGCAATGGGCTGTGTCCAGCTCTCAGTGGTACCTCTGGAATGGTGGGAGAAAAACCGCACAACACAGCAGATCAGTCACTTTTTAAATTCTTGATCACCCACGTCAAATGAGGACTCCAGACCCACTAAATAAGGTTCTTTCATATCTTCTCGACACCTCCCTTCATCCTCCACTAATAATTCTCTTGCACTGTTACCTGCTGTAACAAGAACACCACAGACAAGGTAGCTTAACTCACAGCATTTCTTAGTCTGGAGGCTTGGCAGTCCAAGGTCAAGGACTAACACACAGTCTGTGTTGGGAAGGACCCCTTCCCCGATGGCCACCTTCTGGCTGTTCCCTCAGCTAGTGGAGAAAGAGGGAGGAGATGGTCTCTCTCTTGTCCATCCTTCACAGGGCACTAATTCCATTTTGAGTGGCCCACCCTCGTGATGCCCAAAGGCCCCCATCTCCCAATATCCTCACATTGGAGATGCAATTTCCACTTATTTTTGTGGGGTGGGGGGACAGATGTTTAGTCCTTAGCTTTAACCTTTCATCACTCCTAATTCATAACATAGAAGTCTCCAGACAAGACTCTCCTTGTGTGCCCACATCTACTATTGGCCATGACATTCATTTGTTTTCACTCCTCTTGCAAAGAAATGTTCTTTTTCCTTCCAGAGCCCAATTCCTCCAGTACAATCTTCTATCCCAACACCCGTCTCTTTGTCTGTTTTGCATTTTTACAAGGAAAGGAGTCTTTACTTAATGGGCATGTAAATTGAGTATAGTTGGCCTTCTACCAGGTTTATTAACACAACAATGTATGTGCTTTAGGGACATAGGTTTATACTTCTATAAATGTATATTAATACACTGTTATGGGGAAGGATGTCCTAAAGGAACTCTGTAGAGTCTTATGGACTCCACCCCCTACTCCAGCTTTTTGGACTCTACCCCTTACTCCAGTGATTGGAAACTACAACTCCCAGCAGTATCAAGGAGAGAACTGCGAGGACCCAAGGGCAGAGCAGGCATTCTGGGACTTTGGGGGATAAATAAGGAGCCATTTGGTGCAACGCTCTCTCGCTCCAGAAAGGGCTCTCGGGACCATGTGACAGGGTACTATCAGTTAATTTGTTGCTAGAGGGTCTCCAGATCATTGTTACCTCTCTTTCTTTAGTCTTTAATCTTTGTTCTTGGTTTGATTATTCTTGTGAAGATTCTATGATGTGCTGGTAATTACTACTTCATTTTTAATTTTTTTAATTTAAAAAATATGAGTGTGTATGTGTATGTAGGGAAGGCAGGGAAGAGAGGGGGGGGGAAGTGTTAAAATGTTAAGTCTACCAAGCAAAATGA